CAATTTTTTAAGGCATAAAACTCCATTGGAGCCCACCCGTCCCACAAAAAGTGTATTTTCTCCGTATTGTAGCAAGTTAACACCGGATTCAAAGTGTGGTCGTGTCATGGATCCCGTCGATTGCTTGTTTCGGCCCGAAATCATCAAATTTTAAGATTTCAAAAAACTTTAAATCGAGGTATTCCGACTTACTTTTTGGTAAAACTCATGTATGTAAAATGCTTATTAGTTGTTATTTACTGTGGGCTATATTGTTTTGTTATCGTTTTGTGATTTAATTAATTTGTTATTTTTTATCCGAATTAGATTATTTATGTGCTAAAAAATGAGTAAAAATGATATATTGTTATTTTATGAATAATTATTGTTATATGTGATTTTATTGTTGTACGTATATTAATATGTGACTTTATTATTGTTTAGTGCTCTTTAATATTATATTGTGCCCTTAATTATTATGTAGTGCCCTTTAACGTAGTAAAACTAGCTAATGGTAGTTGACTTTGTTCATGGCCATTTAGAGTAGTGTTATTGTAGTGCTTTTTAAGATTTCATTGTGTAGAATAAAAACTAGGTGCTCTTCTTAACAAACTCGGATAGAGCACTCAATTATGGATTTAATGTATCCGTAGATAATTATCAAATATTAGATAGAAATCATAAAATAATCATAAATAACAAACAAATCGTTACGAAAGAAATAAATTCAATAGTATTTACTATTAAGTTTGTAGTTATTTTTATATGATTTATTATTGAATAATTACTAATTTATCTTAGTAGTTATTGAAATAAATCAATTGATTATCTATTAACCCCAAAAATATCTGAAAAAATAATGATAGTTCAAACACAAAACCTCTCGAATTTTAGTCAATAATTTTAAGAAAATAACATAAAAACAATAATATAGAAAATTTGTCAAACTAAGTATACCCAAAAATAGCTAATTAGGAAACAAACATATAAAATAATAAACTAACCTATTAAATAATATAATAAACTAACATATAAAATAATAATATAAAAAATATATCAACCTTAGTAATAATACAGTAAAAATATCGATTAAATATTAATATAAAAGATATTGCAATATATTTAAAGGTGTTAAGAAATTAAAAAGAAAAATACTTTAATTAATATTGTACAATTTACAGATATCGACATGGAGGTTCCCCCTGTGCATCCCGGACCGGCATCTCGAGAGGTACTGTTGCTACTGGGCAACCATAGGTCTTCACACATATGAGATGGGCAGTGTATGTCCCATATATTTCGCCCCGGACGTATAGACGATATGTAGGAGTTTATTAGGGACCACTCACTGCATCCCCATATAGTTAGAGGCCTTCAGGATACGGGTTTTTACAAGATCATAGAGATCGACCGGTTGCAGTTCGACTAGGCGTTGATCACGGCTATGATAGAGCAGTGGCGACCGGAGACACACACATTTCATCTACCCATAGGAGAGGCTACCATCACGCTTGAGGACGTGGAGGTTCTTTTCGGGCTGCCTGTCGATGGATTACTTGTAGCTTACCCGCATGCTCTTAGAGACTATAGTGCAGTAGATTACCTGCATATGTTGCAGCGGCTCACCGATTTCCAGCCAGCAGAGCGGACTGCATTAAGTGGGGCCAGTCGATTGCAGCTGACGCTCGTCTGGCACCATTTGGCGGCGATGGATGCAGAGATTATGGATGATTCACTGCCGGAGGATATCGACCGGCACACGAGATTGTTGCTACTGCTGATGTTTGGTGGTGTACTGTTCCCGAACACTTCGGGAAACCTAGTCAGTTTGAGAATTCTACATCATCTGGAGCGGCTAGATGATTTACATGGTTACAGCTGGGGTGCAACTATTCTAGGTTACCTGTATAGGCAGATGTGTCGGGCGTGCATGGGCACCTAGAGAGACGTTGCCGGTTTTTTTATTGCTGCTGCAGGTGAAAACATAGTCAATTCTTTTCATGATTATAACATACATAGTAAATAAAATACCTTAACTTTTACATTCACAGTCTATATTAGGTTTGGGCCTGGGAGCGATTCCTGCAATTCCAGCCACCTCTACCGCCGATCGTACCGGATGTACCACCTCCACCGTTTCTCCCTTTAGCTTGGCGGTGGGTTGATAGGAGAGGCTAGCACGCGAGGTCGAGGCTTGACATCATCTCCCTTATTACAGGAATTTATTGGATATACTTGAAAGCGCGCAGGTACATATATACTTAAGTTTACTTGGCCTGGCTTTATATGGAGGCCATACAGCGACGCGCTCATAGCTGGTTTGCCCGATTATTGCTCCTACGGCTGAGCTATGTGGAGCTCTTCCATCCCACTGATATGTCTCGACATAGTCGAGCATCATGCCACAGAGCGAGTCCTTCGTCAGTTTGGTCACCCTCAACTTGTACCTATTTCGCCCACTTGGCAAGGGACACATTACCAGCGAGATGATCGTTGGAGGGTTGACCAGACATACATGGCATGGCTAGAGGCCCAGATTGAGGTTTGGGACCAGAGGTATGACCTGGTTTCTCCATACCCTCCACCAGACCGTATGGATGACGAGCATGAGTACTTGGGTTGGTATCGCAGCATTACGCGACTTCTCGTCGGGAATCCCGTTCATCGCACAGGTGGTCGGTACATTCCATGCGCTGGGATGCATGAGGCACTGGTATGTTAATTGTTATACTTACTTATAACATAACATTATTCTTCCGTAATTAATATTTTATATGTTATGCAGGCTATTGGCTTACATCAGTTCTACCAGTTGGGACTGCAGATGATACAGCATACAGGCGAGGGAGCGTCAGCTTTGCATGTCTTTGGTCGTCGGATTACTGATCTTGCTGTAGACACATTGAGATGTGCCCGAGAGGATGGGCACTTAGGATACGAGGCTGCTTATGTGCCGCCTGAGGAGTACCATCATAGGCCACCAGTGGAGCCTGAACGTGGTAGACGTGTGATGAGTGGTGATTTTACCAATTATTCTAGTCTCTTTTCTTTAGTTTTTGTGTCCTTTAATTATAAAATAAGGTGATTTATTTTGTGCATTATTAGATTTTTAGGTAAATGAAGTCTCGAAGAGAATTGAAATTGAACGAAATGGATTCTTGCAAAAAAGAGGGAAAGAAGTGCAAAATTCCTTCTGCATAATAGAAGAAATTGCACTTGAAGCGCACCTGCGACCATGAATCTGCTTCTGCAGAACCGCTTTTGCGGTTATGGTCCGTATTTGCAAAACCGCTTATGCGGTGACATGTTCGCTTCTGCGAAGTAGTATTTTCCACCAAAAATCGCTTCTGCAAATGGTTATCCGCATCTACGGAACCGCACCTGCGAGGATTCTTCTGCAGGTGCGGTCAAAGGGCTTCAGCTATGGACAGCTTTGGAATTTCACACTTTTCTTGATTCCAAATCCACAAATATACTAGAGAACACAAGTTTTGGAGCTAAGGTTCTTGCACACACACTTGGGACTTGAAGATTTGGAGCTTTTGGTTGAGAATTTCTTACCCATTTATGTTCATTTCTTCATTTCCTTGATTTGTATTGTATATCTAAGTGTGTAATATTTTTTCCAACACTTGAATCTTGTTTATGAGAATATTCGTATTTAAAGTGTGTATTAAATATCTTGTTGTACTTATGTATTGAACGATTTTTATTTATTATGAAGTGAGTTATTGTTTCTTTAATTATTCTTGTTCTTTAATATTTTCAAAGGGATTAACTAACCCTAGGACGCGCCCATTTACTTTGAATTAATTTTGGGAAAGATAATTTGGGATTGGAAAAGATTAATTAACAAGAACTTGAGGCGTTAACCCTCATTTTATAGATTCTACCTAGGGATAGGATTATACTACTTGTAGCCTCATCGGGTGTGCTTAATCTCTTAATTGTTTTAGGGATAATTCAATTAGGAAGTCTTGTTAGTCTTCGGAAGAAGCTAATATAGAATTATTACACGAGGCTAATTAACATAAACTCGATCATATTTATAAAATCGTGAAATACATTGGATCGTTACTTGAGTGTAATTCCCAATGCATCCATGCTTGTTTGCCATTGATCATTTTACTTGCTTTCTAGGTTAGTTTACATTTTTTGCATTTAGACATAAATATTTTCTCAAAACCCTTTTTAGTGTTTGACTTAGCATAATAAGTGATAATTCTCTTACACGCCTAATCGCCTACATATTGTTCTCTGTGGGATTCGACCCCGACTCATAGTTGGGTAAATTATATTGCATGCGGCCGTTTTCATTTACTCTTTAGTAGTGAATTTGGATGTCATCAAAATTTGCACCATTGCCGAGGAACAATTTGGCGTATTTAGGTTGTTTTAGAAATAAGCGTACGTGCTTTGATCCAAACTTATGAATATTTGTGTAATTATTTTATATCTTTGTTTAATTTTCTTGTTGTTTTTCTTGTTTACTTTCTTAGTTTTTGAAAAATGACATCATATGATGAAAATTGGTCGGATGGTAGTTGTTCATACTTTTATGAACCTTGTCCTTATTGTGGAGGACCACACTCGTGGCAAAATTGTTTAAATTCTCCTCGGGGGCGGATGGTGCGCACAATCTCAAACCCATGAGCGGAGTATTTGTGATAAGTGTGGTGGTCAAAATGGTCATTGGGATAATTGTGCTTATTTGTCCTTCCCTACCCCAAATCTCGNGTGTGCACAATCTCAAACCCATGAGTGGAGTATTTGTGATAAGTGTGGTGGTCAAAATGGTCATTGGACTAATTGTGCTTATTTGTCCTTTCCTTCCCCGAACCCCCGCTATGATTATTCTACTTTTTGTGATGACAATTGTAAGGATATGAAAGTGGAAGAAATTGAGCATAGTAAAAATAGAAAGTTCAAACTTAAGATGGAATGCCTACTTGAAGGAGGAAACAAAGAGCAAAAGGCATTGGAGGAGCTTTTGGAAAATAGTCTCCAAAATGAATTGGCGCTTGAAAGGTTGAACTCACAAATGGGAGAAATGCTTGAAGCTTTAGAGGTCCAAAAAGTCTCGGAAGTGAATGATAGCCAAGAACCTTCCTTAGAGATTGAAATGATGAGACTATCCGCACTTTGGAAGATCAAATGAAATCATTGATTGAGGCTCATTATGTCTATCAATTTGAGAGTGTGGAAAGAGGTCAAGAAGAGTCCAACTTTGATGAAGAAAGTGAGATCTATTTTGAGGAATCAAGACTTGAACATCCGCCAACCGACTCCATGCTTGTTGGTGATGCCAAGAAAAATATAGAATTAGAGTCAACAGATGTAATTGAAAAGATGGTTGAAAATGACTCTAGTTCGTGGGAAAAAGAGAACATCAAAATCCGGAAAAAGTTTCAAGTTGGGAGGCAATTATCTCATTCCACGCACTTTTCAACTTTGGACTTGTATGGTGATATGGGAATTGAACTATGTGAATCCATGTGGGAGTGTAAAGAATAAAGACAAGAGCCATACATCTTGCAATTTGAATATTCAAGAACACAAAATGACATTCCTAAAAAGAAAGCCAGTAAATGCAAAACGGAGAAATTGATGCTTAGCTTAATCATCTACTTACCACCCCCCGTTGATCGTGGTCACAAACTTGATTCCAAGTTGGGTGCCCAGTTCATATCTTCCAAGTGGCGAGAAAAATAGTAAAGTTGATTCACGTCGTGCCACGACGGTAAATGCGGCGCTTGGTGTGAGGCAACCCATCATTTTCAAATTTTTAGTCATTTTCTTTTTTAGAATAGCTTAGTATATTATTTTTGACTTATCTGCCAAGTTTCAGATTTTTTGGAGTTGAATTGAGGAGGTTGAGGTGTTGGAACGAGCCAAAGCAGTGGCTGCCCAATTGTGGCATTAAGAAATCTGGTGCAACTGCTTCTGCGGAAATATTCACGCAGAAGCAGCCACGCAGAAGTGTGTTCTGAGATGCAGATGTAAACTTATCGCAGAAGCGGCAACTTCCACGCAAAAACGTTCACGCAGAAGTGTGTTCTGAGCCGCAGATGTGGTAAATCCACAGAAGCAGTTCGTAAACCGCAAAAGCACAGGCACAGAAACAGTTAAAATCTTGCAGGTGCGATGCATCGGGTGAGTTTAAAGAAAAAGCCCTATTGTGTCTCTCTTATAGGTAGCACTCTAAATCTTTTCCCCCAAACTCAAAACTCCCTCTCATCTCTCATGCTATTTCTCTTCAGCACTGCTCTCACTCAAGTTCGCACACTCGGGCAATAAAGGTAACATCTTTTTTTTTTCTTCACGACTCCACTAGGCAAGGTGCCTAGGGCTAGTTTTTATATATATACCTTAAAAATAAAACAAAAGTGTCAGGCAGTCATACATAGTGAAAGTAATAAAATTTGAAAATTACATAATCTATTATAAGAAATATCAAATTATGGTGGATGTCTACTCTTCCTCCATGATCTTCATCTCAAATGCTTAATGACATATTCAATGATATATTTTTTTATGTTTAATGACATATTCAATGACATATTTTTTTTACTTTTCATGTCTATATAAAGGCCTTGTAATAGATAGAAAAATACACACAATTGAAGAAGAAATAAGAATCTCTCCTCTCTTTCTCTCTATATCTCTTAGCTTATTTTTTCTTGTTCCATATTGTTACTTTGAGTTATATTTTATAACACGTTATCAACACGAGACTCTACTGCCTCAAGAAGCTCTTTGAGAAGACTAAGGTATAACTTTTCTCCTCTTTTAATTATGACTGATATTATGAAAAGAAAGTTCATTGCCCTTGAAATTTCGTGTAAGAACTATATGACATGGGTGTTGGATGCTGAAATTCATTTAGATGCAATGGGTCTTGGAGACGCCATTAAAGACAAAAATAAAGCATCTACCCATGAT